CTCAAGGTTTCGGCGTGGGACCCACTTTAGGTTGCCTTGTTTGTCCGTTCTCCGCTTCTGCAAGTTTTCCCCAACTTTCTTCGCCATTTGGGCCATTTGAGAAGAAGATAGACTGAGATTGCCCTCTATAATCGGCCTATGGGTCGTCTCCTTGCCCCAACCCACGTGACATTTTAAGTTGTTATGTGGGTCACTAGAAATGTGCTTCGACCCACCTGACCCGCCCACCACCTCAACCGGCTCGGACCAAACCTTTTGATGCCCTGGTCCACAACCCGGGTCCGGCCTAAGTCCAGCTTGAACCATTTCAACGAAAGATGTTTTATTCGCTCCTCTTGGGGCTAATTCAAAATTATTCGAATAATTTCTAATTTTTGTTAACCCTTTTTCTTGTTAATTGAGAAAGACTGTTCACCTTCCTCCCTTCTCCTGGTGCCACCTGGAAACCACCTTTCCAGCTCATATCCTTCCAGCTCTTGACCTCCCTGCCATAGCGATGCTTTGACTGCCGTTGCGAACCACAGGCGCCACCATCCGCATTCCACCAGGAGTTCACAGTACCTAGGGATTAAAAACGGCTTCACCCCGGCGATTCTCATCTTCATAGCGAACAAATTATCAAAACTAAAGTCTTCAAGCTTGCCTCCTAGAGCTGGAACGATTTTTTCAAACACTTCCTCCCAAAGATTGAATGGAAGGACTACAACCTTCACATCAGCTCTAAGGTCGTCGATTTCAATCTCATTTCACAACATAATCCACTGCTTGACCAGTGCCATGCCTTCCTCTGTTTTAACCGTTGCCAGTTCCAGCTTCTGTTCTCCGACATCTAGTAGAGCCCTGTTTTTGCAGAAAGGAAGTAGRGCCGCCGTTGCTTTGATGTGGAGCTCTTTCTTCATAGCCTCTTGTATCCCCTGCCAATCGTTCACCTTTTTCTGAAAGGTGATAACATATCTATTAGCCCAAACCCCTTTCTCTACCTCCATCGCAATTTTAATTGCAGACTGAGAGCTTGCGACAACCATAGAGATATTCTCCTTTTCGAGAGGGTCTGGTGTCCCGGTTTCGAAGGTTTGTTCTTGCTCTACTTCCACTTTCTCCATTTTCTTGCCAACCTTAACACCCTCTTCGAGGAACATCAAGAACTTCTGCAGGAAACCTGTGAACAACTTCCAGCCCCTGCTTTTCTTGCCTTCTGGTAGGCATATCATCTGTTTCCTCCCTCCTTGAAACTCTTCCATTACTGTAACGAACCACCCCTTCTGATTCCATTTGAGGATAGCCTTGTATTTCCGATCCAAAGATGATATCGAACTTCTCCATCCTTGCTTCTTCACTGATCGTACAGCTCCATCAACAAATCCTTGTAGCCACTGCAAAGCATCTCCAATTGGAAAAACTGTAGCCCTTCTCTCCTCCCTTATCTTCAAAAACCATTGTCCTTTGATTGTTTGTTCTTCCAAGACCATTTCTTTTGCCTCCATCTGCAGCACTTGTCTCCACTTGGTTGCATTCATGAATCTTCCTTCTGCCATTATCAGACCCTCCTCTTCAAGTTGGTTCTGCAACAACCATTATCTCCTCACTTAGGTTACCGGCATTCTTCCAAAACAAAAAATGGTTATCATTGTCAAGGCGTTGCCTAGGTGCCCTTGGCTGCGCGCCTCGCCCAGACACCTTGACTTCTAGCAACAAAAGGTGCCTGCCTAAGCAACAAGAATGACAAGGCACACACATTATTATAATATCATTTATATTGCTATATCTTATTAATGTGTTAATATATTCTATTAAATACTATATATCATTTATTACTTGTTTTAATGTTTTACTATTGAAATTTAAAAGATCAAAGGGTTTTGAGAAGAGAAAAAGAAAGAATAAAATCAGAGTTTGTTTCCTATTCTCTCTCTCTCTCTCTCCAATTAAATGAAACAGAAACTCCATCCTTGTTTTTATTTGAATTAGCTTTCTTTCTTAAATTTTTATCATATAAAGTGAATAGCCTTATTAGTTGCTAATTGATATGAAATTGCTCTATTAAATACTTATTATAGTAGTGTTATTTTTGAGAACAATGAAATTAATATATTTATAAGATTTTTATCTTTTAGATTGATGATTTTCCACACTTTGAAAGGAAATTTAATGTTATCAATAAAGAGAATTGCCATTTTTTCAATTAATATGCATGCTGAATGGTATATAAAACTAGAGACTAGCCAAAAGTTAGTTATTTATTTCATAAAATTCTTATCGCATAGGTGACTAGCCCTAGTGTTGACCAGAATTGCCTCAATGCCTTTTAAACTATGATGGTTATCAAGAATGCTATTACCAACAATTTCTTTGGGATTTATGTAAAAGATCAGTGTTATCAAAGTATTGAGAGCCATGCTGATTGTTTCACTAAGTGGTTGGTTGAAACTCATATGATGCAGTCAGGATGACATTGATTAGCTAGTCAACCTATTCGGCCATAAAGTTATTTTAAAACTTTAATTTGTTTGTGTTTATCTTTACCTTTTTTGATAAGTAAATGTAATTTTATTATAAAATCAATATATACAGCATTACGAGCCACCCGGGGAGAGGTGTAAGTTTTACATCATCCAAACCAGTGTTTTTGAACCGTCGGTGACCCGGACAATCGGACTGTTTGGCCCAGAAACCATCCAGGCAAATGGTTCTATTTCCTGGTTGGTTTTTAAAACCTTGATCCAAACAAAAGAAAGCTAACACGTTTATCTTTACTTGTTTAAAATAGTAACATATGATTTTATTTTGGTATATCAATGGTAGTTGCTATAAGCATTTGTGAATTGTGATGGTAATATAAATAGAAATAAGGCATATATTAAAAAGGGGACTGAKATGGGCACATCCCATTATGATAAACCGGGCATCTCTCACGAGAAGACAAAGAAACCATTATTGGTTATGACAAAAGGCAAAACAGGGGCTGTCTTCATCTTTTGATACATGTATGTTTTCTTCCAATCAGTGGTTTGCTAGTAGAGAGTTGCCACAGAAGGGCATGCTGAATGGTCAGGGTTGCACTCATTCTGAAAAACAAAGGCCACAACTCTATCCTAGCCTTTTCAGTCTTTTCTATATTTGCTAAACAAAGATTATAAACTGATTGCTCTTTTATTGCATATTTGACAGTGTCTCATCATCATCATGATCATCACTAAGCCTTGTCCCAACTATTATGGGGTTGACTACATGAATCCTGTTTTGTCATTCAGTTCTGTTCAATGCCATATCCCTCATCATATTTGACAGTTAATATAACTTATATATGAGATTCCATCAATAACGTAGCACCTAAGCGTCCCCCCCCCCCAAAAAAAAAAAAAAAAAAAGATACTCTAGGAGTGATAAAATACTTGTGACTTATTACAGAAAAAGCATAACGGTAGATTGTGCATTTCCCCCCATGTCTGTGTCCTTTGCCTCAGTAATGGAGATTCAGTTGAACATCTTCTTCATTGTTCAGAAACAATGAAGGCCATTTTTTAAACCTTGTTGGCTACATCTGGGTTTTTCTTGAATGTATTGAAGATTTTCTAAGGCAATGGCAAAGGAGAGGGTTAGGTCAAAGGGGGAGAATCTACTGGTACATGGTGGCTCAAGCAGTAATGTGGGGTATTTGGGAAGAACGAGACAATCACATTTTTAATAACAAAGCTAGATCCATGGAAGACCTAATTTCTCATATTTTTCACATGTGCAATCCGTGGGTGTTGAATTCAGAGATATACAAAGGAATCACTCTGAACATGCTTCAGCAGAATGGGGTGGAACTGTTGTTCTCTTCAACTAGTTCTTTAAAAGCTTCAGGCCTCCCCCAGTCAAGAGAAGAGGAAGTGACTCTGTACTTAGATGGATGTGCACTTGGAAACCTGGGATTATCTAGAACTGGTGGTGTGTTTAAGAGGAGGGATGGTAGTCTTTTGTGGTTTTTTGGTGGACCAATTGGGACCGCAGATTCCACAACGGCTGAAATTTTAGCTGTGCTAAATGGCCTCTGTATCATAAGAAGTCTAGGCTTGAACAACCTGATAGTAAAAGGTGATTCTAGCAACATGATAACATGGCTTGGGGAGAACTGAGAAGGAAGGTGAGCCTTTGGAGATTGGTTCACTACTTGGACGAGGCTAGAGATCTGTTGTATTCCTAGAATGTAAATTAATCTGGATTTCGAGGGTTCTAAACTATGTAGCAGATAGTTTAGCCAAATCTGGTGCACCCAGGGAAATGCTTATATGGTGATGGACTTATGCCTTTGTAACCTGTGTGTGGCTAGCCTTCTTTGTAGATCATCTCATGTGTTCTCCTTCATCTTTTTAATATAAAGTTACTCTTTTCTCAAAAATACCTAGCACCTAAGCACTGACTCACCACACTAACTAGGGTGCTCAAGGCAACTGGTCATTGCTTCGTTGTATTAATAACACCGATAAAGACATAAGTTCCCGCTCTCCCTGTACAGAAACTTTATGCAACTCTTAAACATGGTTGTCAAGGCAGTGAGGTGAAGTTCGGCTACAAGGGATTAATTTGCTGTCTACTCGATTCGGTGGTTTCTTATTTAAAAAGAAGAAAAAAGAAGCCAYGTCACCTCAGTGCTATCTTGACAGTTGTGCTAATTAAAATGTTAAACACCATTTTCAGCTACATACAAATTCAGCTCTGTTCCTTTTCCATGAGTAATTTACAAGATAAATTGGTAGGTCATCTCAACAATTCAAAGGACCTATTATGTATGGAAAACCAGATATGTCTTCCTTGAACTCAATCAAAATTAGTTTCCTGTCATACCTTTGCATCTCAAGAAACACCAGCAGCTACAGTTCAAACTATCTTTCCCCAAGTAGTTCTTAGAAACTTAAACTGAAACTGATCCTCCCCCGCAGGCATATCCACGTGCAGACACAATAAATTTTAGCACTGATTACTATGCTAGTTATGCTAATTATGCTAATCTATTGCAGGTATGCAGGGGAACCGCGGTGATGCTTGTATCCCCAACTGATGGTACAGACGAGATTGCCAACCCCTTTATCCAGCCAGAAGGGGCTTAGCGAATCCTTATCCCTTGGCAACCCTGATAAGCAAATATTGTTTCACTCCTGGATTCGGGGTTTGGCCATTCATGTGAAGAATTTAAACCCAGATATTTGTGAAGGAAATGATCTTTCCATTTGACGTGCAAATATCATTTTTTTTTTCAATATTTAAACTTGCTGAAATTCCAGTTATGCTTCCCTGTAGGGAATAGTTAAGGCTGCGTTTGGGAGTGCTTTTTGGCCTAAAAGGGCTATTGAAAAAACCACTTTTTAAAATGGGTTGTTTAAAATAGCACTTTTTTAGTGTTTGCCTGATCATTAGCTTTTTTCTTTTTTCTTTTTTTCAAAATAGCTTATTGCAAGCGCAAAAAGCTAAGTTGAGGGTTTTTTTCCCTGCTTTCTTAAATGGGTTTTTATTTTTATGCAAAAAGCTGGTTGAGTGTGTTCATTTTCACCAAACAAATTTTCAATTGGCTTTTGGTTTCAAAAAGCACAAACAGCTGGTTGAGTACGTAATTTCAACGTGGCCTAAAGGATCATCCACGACGCTTTCTTCAGTTTGCTCTTGATTTTTGAATTGGCGTACAAGCTGGAAAATGGGACTTGCCATCCCAACGAAAATTTTGGCTTGTCCTGGTCCTGTCTCATGGTTGTCAGCTCGAGGTCTGACCATTGCACCAAGCAATGGTTTGAGGCTTTGAGCCTTGGGGTTTCACCCTGTAATTTATGGTTATTTTTTAATACCTTGAGTACCCATACTCCCATAGCCCATGTGTGAATGGGATCCAGCTGATGGGTTTTTGGCATCAATCAACCTCTGTTTAGGCTTCAGTTACGCAACTCAATGTCAAGTCAAAGTTGCAAACAAATGGGGTATTGTAGAAAGAAATGCGGTAAAGCTGTTATGGTGGCTTATGAGGCCAAATGGTTGTTGGCTCAGACCGCGTGGGGATCATCGCACAAATCCGTCTAAAACTGTAGTTTGTAACTATTTTGAGATGATACAAAATTCAGAATTGATGGTGGCAAAGCTCAACTGTGGGGAGAATGGAGACTGCCCTCTAGACATACACGGAGCGCATGACGATGGCAATTGGCAAATAGCGTTGTGAACAGAACGAGGCAAGGACAAGCTTTGGTTGTGGTTGGATGGAATTATCTGCAGAGAGTGAAGGAGTAGAGGACGAAACCCACATGGGTACGTTTGGTCCTTTCTGTTCTTCTGTAGCAGTAGCTCTCATCACTCATCAGACGGACGGAAGAAGCAGTAATATGTTGATTGTTGAGTCAGTGTAGACAAACACTGATGGGGTCGAGCCGGGCCATCTGTTATTAGTTGAGAGCAACACTCTAACAGGGCCTATGCCCAAGAAATCGGATTTGGTTCTTACAAGAACGTGGTCACATGGTTCGTACAATCTCTTGCAGTCTTACATTGAGAATATCTTCCCTGAAAAAAAATATACAATTATGAAATTATTTGCTATAAAGGCTTTGCGAACGGTATGACACGGTCTTATAACTCAAAGGCCCAACCCCTCTCTCCTACCCTATGGGCCCTTTCCCCAACCAGATCAGATCCGGTCAGATCAGACTACGTTTGTCTGCTCTGATAATAAATGCTTTACAAACACCAAGAACAGTTGGGTGGAGAGGACAATGCAATACAATGGAACCTTTTTGGTTTATAGCTGATGTGGGGAGTCAATCAAACAYGACGCTGGACGCTGGGCTGTCGAGAAGGTATCCGATTCCCTCCCTCCCTCTGGTGCTGTTTGTGTTTGATCATGACTCATGAGCAGCTACTGCACAATTACACAATTACTTCTTGCCTGGTTTTGTTGCTTTCAAGTTTTCACTCTTCTTCATGCAAATTCAAATCCAATTGTGCCACCACTGTAGTCATGAAAAATCATAATCTGACTCTAAGGGCCCGTTTGGTTTGCTCCCCTTCATTTYAATTCCAACTATTTGGTTGGGTGGAATTGAAATCTCATTCCTATTCATAGTGGAATGACATTTTYCTATTTGAGAATGAAAGTATGAAACCCCATTTCTGTTAATTTTAATTTTCATTCCAATTCTTGCCTGAATTAAATAGATTATGGRAATGAACCATTACAACTCCAATTCTAAACGATTTTATTTCCGATTTCTGATTTCAATTGTGAATGAAACGGGCCCCAAGTATTCTAATAGGTAATAGGGTTTCCTTTGTTATTGGATGAGAGGTTTTCTGTTGGAGGCACTAGGCCTTGCTTTGATATTTGGTGCCATTTTGTAGAAATTTCACAAGATGTTCACTCCTGCTGCTCATATCACTTGTTTCGATGTCTACTCGTTTAGTCTTTGTAGGTAAATAAATTACTTGTTAGTATTTTGGTTGTCTGTTAATTGATGGTATTTTGGTTGTATTCTAAGCACAATTCAATACAATTTTGCCAACGGAATTCAAAAAAAAAAAAAAAAAACAGACAAATATTACTTCTCTGATATGCTTCTCAATGCTCTATTCAATTTAAAATTTGAACTAATGAGAGTTCCCACTTCATACTCGTACCAATGGGCCAATTATCCTATATATCAGGCTGACGACGCCCAGACCCAGTATCTTACGGTTGAATTTGGTTTCATGATCAGCTCGGACAGTGAACTGGGTTACTTTGGTATCGTTTGGCAAGTTTTGTTTTTTGAGAAGCTTAAAAAAGGAAAAACTTCAATTGGAGTTTCTCAAATTTAACCTAAAACAGGTTTTTCACATATTTTTAGGATGTGATCTTTCTAAGATTGGATCTCCCAACTAAATGGGAAAGGACGAAAACACGCCAAACTTCTAAACAGCCGACAGCTCACACAGAAAGATGCACCAAACAGGTTTATTAATTTGGGATAAATCATAACTCATATGTAGACTGCACTCCACCTGCCTTGAAATTACAACCCCCTCCTAATATACTAGTAGCCGCTTATAAACCGCATCCTGCCCATGAATTTRTCGTAGATCTACAGTCAGGATTCATCCCACCTGTACCATGGAACTAAGATTTCTGARGTGGACTGAACATTAAAAACCCCTATTATCTTTTCTTCTTCTCCTTCTTCTTGGTTCTGATACCCTTTTCTGTTGGTTGGTGTACTATGGGCCCAGCGAGACATCATCATTCATGACTGTTGGATGTTGAATGATGATCAAAATGTCCAACGTTTGACATAGTAGGAGACAARTCAGGAAATCCAACGGTTGAGATCCTAATCTCTGGCCATGAGGTCGAGCTTTTTCTGTTTTTCTTTATCTTTTATCTTTCCTTTTATTTTCTTAATTTTTTAATAAATTCACTAGGGTGTATTTGGATGGAAAAAGTACCACATTCCTTGTAGTGGGGGATCTCTGCTGCACCTTCCGTGCACTTCGTTAGATATGCGGGATGATTCCCTTTGCCGTTAAAGGTAAGGCTAAACTTGCCACTTTCTTTTTATTTATTTATTTAATAATAATTTTTGAAATAAATTACACATGGCCACCCTGTACTTACCCCCCGAATTTTGTTWTACATCGAAGAATTTATTCAACTTTAGCATTGTTGACAACAAAAATAAAATTACAAATATACCCTTTTGAGATTCAATTGATTTTTTTTGGTATCAAACTATCAATTACTGCCATATGGTTTATAGAGCATATGCTATCTCTTTTTGGGCTAGCTTATTGTGCTTCTAAATCCTTAACTATGAACTTTATTTCTTCTACAAGGTTTTTAAAGCACGTCAAACCCAATCAAAAGAGATATTTTACTCTAACATGTCCTCATGTCCATTTTTGTCATTATGACCTCTCAACTCATTTATTTTTAAATGAACAATTTAAAAGATGTTTGGTTACATTTTCTTTTGTTGAATAAATGTTTCGTAAGTCATTTATCTTGAAAAACGAGAAAAATGTTTATTAGTGTTTTTTTTTTTTTTTTATAATTAGGTGTCATTAGATGTTGTTAGGCGCTATACAAGGCAAATAGTATAGAAGGAACATTTTAGAAACATAATTTTTTTAATATGTTTTTAATGAACGGCTCTCATATAACTTGAGACAAATGTTTTTCTAATAGCCTCTTCAATCAAACAAAAATTTAGTCTCTAACTTAATGATGGGTGATTTGGCCCTTCACTGCCCTAGCGGCATATGGCATTTATCTTTGTCGCTTGACACCTCAGTGCTATGTGGATAGTCGTGTATCTCGTCAAGTCAAGAAGATGTACATCGGAATCAGTCCAGGGCACTTCATACATAACATAGGCACCTTGGCATTGCGGCTAGTAGCACTTTGTCCAGGACCGACCTATGGTACCTTTGGCACCTTGTTGTTATCGGTCTAAGGGACTTCGGCATGAAGAGCGACTTCCCTTAAGGACTTGCCGGTCTATGGTATCTCATCAGTACCAATTCAAGGGATTTCAGCATGGCGAGCGACCTCCCTCAAGGACTTACTGACTTGACTGAGGTCCAGGTGGCGACTTGCGAGACGTGCTTGCTGACCTCCTTTGCATGTGTCCCATAATTCTTGGGTCCTTCGGAAGTCCTCTCCCACACCAAATGTTTCGGAAGAAAGCACAAAAGTCTAGTCGGCATGCGAAACTACCTCCAAGGACTTCAAATTGGTCAACCACGTCTTCTTGGAGATCTTGGATGCGGTGCGTGAAGGTCGCACCGAATAATGCTTATATATAATGATTTTACTTCTAATCTCAGAAGGTACGTACGATTTAACTCTCAAGCATACTAGCTCTCAGAAGGTATGCACGACTTAAGCATCGGAGTGTCCACTCTAAGTAAAGCAACCTGGACACTTTGGTCTCTTTCTTCTTGTAGCTCGATCCAACGACCTACTCAATTCGGCATCTAAATTGTTCGCCAAGAAGGAGCGTCAGATCGAACACCACCACCAGAACCAAACATCATCTTATTAGTCCTTATTTGTTATCACTTATTTTAATTAGGTTATTTTGAGTACGTGCATTTAGCATTCCTTATTTTGAGGATTTAACTTCCTTTTACCGTTCGTACATAAAAGAAAAGCAACGTAGGGATTGCTTATTTTTAACACTTATTCCAATTTTTGGGACAATACTGTACGCATCAAAATCCCGGGTGTCTTTATCCATTTAAGCTTCAACACAAACCAGTGACGATATGTGACTCAGGCTAAGAAATTGTTCTACGTATGTGAGTTTCCTCCATTTTTTTACTATTTTTTGTTTCGTTTTAAACAATTTTTAGGGTGATTAAGTGGTTCATCAAAACACTATAACTCAATACTCAAATAAACACTTTTTTTTGATAAATCAATACTCAAATAAACACTTAAAATAGGTGTAAATGATTGGAAAAATGACCTCCCAAACACTAATTTTAATTTACCAAACATAGCCTTAAATACCAAACATAGCCTTAAACAAAGTTAATGAAACCCAAAAGTTCAGGAGGAATGTTAAAAACCATCAGGGGCTAAGACGCCAAGTATCACCACCCCTGAGTACAAGTTAGCAGTTCTGTAATTTATCCTACTTTTTTTTTTCCGTTGTCCATTGATAAATCATTTCTCTTCTAACGAATTGGGATCTGCACCTCACATAGCGCGTCTCACACCGAGGCCAAACCTCCTTTGCTACTGTACGGAGCAATGGAGCATACATTTTAGCCTTTTAGAGTGAGAAATATTCTTTGCAATTCCAGCTGGGTCGGGTCCGGTCCGGTCCCTATATGGGTCCCACGTACAATACAAGAGATGTTTGGTGTGGTGTGTGGGGCCCCCAACCAAAGACTGGAGTACAAGAGCTCTCTAATGGAAACATTGACCATTCGTAATCTTTCTTCCTCAGGCAATTTCTATGTACAAAAAACGGAGCAGAAAGCAAAAAAGTTTTACTTGGGCGAGTTAGAACTTAGAGCATATCATATTTAGAACTCTGCTAACGACACTTCTCTCCGACACTCCGATGCCGGCGACGGTGGCGCCCTTAGACTCTGGAAGTGCTCCCTAATGTCAATTCCTTTCCAAACCACCGCCGTCCCCGGCTCCTCCTCCTCCTCCTCCTCCTTTAACGCCAGGAACGGCGGCCGTGATACCTTCGTTAGCAGGTCCCACCTTAGCCCCCGAAAGAACGCGTGCTCTTTAATCTCTATCGCGCCCCTGTTGTACCCCAAGCGTCGAGTGGGGTCTTTCTCTAGCAACCGTCCGATCAGGTCCGTTAGAGACGTCCGTTCGCCAACGAATTCAGGCGGTTTTGTCAGCACGTTATGAAACGTTTCTTTTCGGTTCTTCCCCCGAAATGGTGTCTTCCCGTAGACCATCTCGTACGTTAGAATCCCGAGAGCCCACCAGTCGACGGCGAACTCATGCCCGTCACCTCGTACGACCTCAGGCGACACGTACTCCTCCGTACCCACGAACGAGTTGGACCGTTCTCCTCTGGAGACGAAGCTCGGCCTCCGGCGACTCACTGGGGAAACACGGGCGGACTTCGCTTTCTTTAAGCCCAACTCCGACATAACGGAAATGAGACGAGTCAAATTCCGGCGATGCTTCTGTCCACCCTTGGGTGTTTCCACCTCCACGGAGTTCAAAATGTCGGTGAGTTTCGACCTTCTGGGTGTTAGAGTCCGGGAGAGGTCGAAGTCGGTGAGGGTGACGTGGCCCGATTGCTGTATCAAGACATTCTCGGGCTTGAGGTCGCGGTACATGACATTCATACGGTGTAGCTGCTCGACAGCACACACAATTTCGGCAACGTAGAAGCGTATGACAGAGGGTGAGAACACGCGGTCGGTCTGACGGTAGCGGAGGACGTTGAGGTCGCCGCCGGAACAATACGGCACTGCCCAAGCTAAGAACTCGTCGGTTTCGAGTCTGCCGAGAAGGGTCGGAAGGAAAGGGTGGTTGAGGCGGGAAAGAAAGGAGACCTCCCAGCGGGCGCGTCGGTCAGCGTCGAATTTGGTGCAGAGGGTGGATTTCTCGACTACTTTGAGCGCGAACGGGCGGCGATCAGACGGGTCTGCTTCCCTGTCGTAAACCAAGAAGACAGTGCCCATGGCTCCTCTGCCCAGTACCCTGATCGCGGCCAGCTTGTCGAGGTCGAGCTCCGGCGAAGTTGTCTCCATTTCAGTAACACAGAGGGAAAGAGAGAAGGAGATATCAAGATGGAGGTTGGTTTGGAGGGGTGCAATGCAATTTATTGTTTATTTCTGCTTTTGTGGCTTTTTATAAGTATTAAGTAGCAACAAATGTTCGGTAGTCCTTCGAATCAAGTGTAAGAAAGCGGGGCCCATGAAAGAGGACAAAACATTGACGGTCTAAGATGGAAGATAGATGTCAGAATTGGGGATAGTGGGCCCGGTTGTAGGATAGGTAAGATGAGATGGGTAGTATGGAATAATGATTGCCAGTTAGTTAAATAGGAAGTTTTGTGGGGGAGAGGTCAAAAGAGGGAATGTACACGTGTGAGGTGGGAGGGGGAAAAAGACAAAAAGAGGGATGTACGGGGTTGGCACATGCTCTCCCGCTAATCTAAGTGGCTCGAATATTTATAAAAGTGAGAGTGGAGAGGGGGGTCTCTTTAGAGTTTGGAGGGGTCCGTTGGAATGTCGTTAAAATCCAATTTTTTAAGGGTCCGTTTGGTTCGAAAAATTGGCATTAGAATCGAAATCCAATTGTAATTGAAATCAGAATTGGTTAGAATGGGATTCTCATTCCCAAGGGAGGGGAGGGATCCAAGGGAATGGATTTTGATTTGGCGCAACCAAACGGTTGGAATTGTCTATTCCGATTCTGATCCTAAACTTCTATTCCCACGAACCAAACGGATCCTAAGATTTTTTTTTTTTAAAATTTTTGTTAAACAATTAGTAGGAAGCATGTGCAGAGAAGGATAAAGTATATATTGACTTTGTTTAATTTATAAAAAATTACTTGATTAAAAAAAAGAACAGACAAATCAAAAGGTTTGATTGTAATTGGTGAATTTTTTCTTATCAAGAATATGCATTGTTTATCCCCAAGGACATGGAATGAAGTAGTGACAAAAGATTATAGAGATCTGACTATTGTTTTCACATCCTTTATCTTAAAGGATGGGTAATTAAGAGTTAATTAAGCTGCATTTGGCAGTGAGTGAAGTAAATTATTGGAGCCTAGTGCAATGTGACAACACTCATTGCATTTATAGAGATCTGACTATTGTCCAATTAACTTTGACAACATCTATTAGGCCCTGTCTTTTATAAATTTCAAGTGTTGTTTGTAAGTGGGGTTGTATGTATTAGGTAAATGGGATGTAAGATTGTTCTTTCTAAATGGGGTTTATTTGAAATTTGAGGATAAAGAGTCTGAAGCATTTACCAAGAGAGAGCAAATGATTTTGACAGGAGATTTTTCATTCAGTTTTCTGTTTGCTCTTTTGTATATGATCCATAATAAAGTCACAAAAAGATATAGTAGAAGACTCCAAAATCCAACTATGCAATTCTTCTCATCTTTTGGGTAGTTTACATGGGCACATCCTGTTTTAATAAATGGGGGGAGCTCATAATGAGAAGGACAACCACCCCTACATATTTTAAAGAAAAATTATTATAGAAGGATACTTGGATATTTTGAAACAGATATCTGGTCAGTTAAAGAGGGGGGAGGTGGTCCATGTTTATCAAACTCAGGGTGTGCCCAAATCACCCCCTTTCCTGTAGTACAAATCCTAAATAGTATGTTAAGACTTAATGATTCATGGCTTTGTTTTGAGTGACTAAGTTACTAAATGAATTGTGAGCTCATTAATATCTGAATCTGAAGTTAGGTTGATTATTGTACCCATGCATATTTCATTATATAATTATAATTATTTTATTCAGTAAAATACAAAGCAATTTGTCATTCAGTTCATCCACTTCAGCCATTACCAAACTGAAATGGGTAGAACATACTTAATGTGTTCTCACTATTTTCACAATTTGAAAACAATGGAAGCCTGTGGGTCTCACATATATATTGTCATAGCAGGTAAGCAAAATAAATAAAAAGTGGACTCCACATGAAATGGCAACTTGTTATCTAAAATTTGGAAACTTCCTTCTCTAGCTTCTGAATCCAGTCATTTGAGAATAGAAATTTCCAAAATCTAAAACCAAAGACCTTATTAATGGGTTTCTGCAATTTATGGTGGAAATTCATTGCTACTAACTTGTATGAAGAAAAAAAAGGAAATGCCCACTTGATTATGCTTTTAGCAGTATCTTTATTATTGAAAATTTAACAAGAATCTATGGTGACCAGTAAGGAATTTTGAACCTTGATATACATGTACAGTCTTGTACAAACCAAGAAAACAAAGCTAAGTGTTTGCCTTTTAAAATTGAAAAATAAAGTGGAGTGAATAGGGAACAAGAAACCCAAAAGAAGAAGAAAACTGTTGAGTGTTCTAATCTTGGGTGCAAATTGGCTAGTTGATTACCTGAAATTGAGGAAAGGGCCCATTGGGTTTGTCAGCTGGTTAGTCCCAGTTCTTTGAACTATATATTGGGTTCTCTATTTATTGGTTAATGTGGGACTTTGGCTTTGCAACTAACTTTTGCTTCATAACTCCAACTTTCCATTGTAATCCCAGAGATGCCAATCCAGAACAGTTGCTGAAATCTATGGGCATCTTACTATACAGGCCAACCTGGGATTGACTACCATCTTCATCTCTAGCATCTAGCAAGTGGGACCTATTTGTCTCTCATCACCTTGTGCTTGTGCTTGGTCCCACATGAGCTAAAGCCAGATTACCTTCAAGAAAGAATTTCCCCTTTTCCTTTAGTTAGAGTATATATTCCCAAATTATTTCTCTTGTCTTGTAATATGTTGTCTGTTTTAAGGGAAAAATAAGTTTGACATTCTATTTCTGAAGGTAAGAATGCAGTCCCTGGAAACTGAGGAAGAAAGTTCCAACACAATGGATTTTCTAAATTAGGGCTTTCAAAAGTCATGAAAGCTTAATGTGTTCTACCAATCCCCAGGCAAAAAGTTGCAATAGTCTGAGAAGGACAAGCTCTTTTGTCTTCCTCCCAAACAGCCCATTACTTCCTAGAGACCTGTTATTTTGATAGTCCCTAAACACTTAGTAGTTAGCTAGGCTATTGATATTGATTTTTGAAAATGACAAACCAAAAAATTTTCATTAGTAGATATGTCAAGGCTTTTTCCTATTAATGTGTCCTAGAGAATTTTTCAATGTACCATCCAAGTTAGGCTCTTTTAGGGGGTCTTCAATTAACAACCAAGACACCCATGGTTAATTTCTTGTCATTTTCTGTCTCTATGGCTAGTCATAGAGCTCCTCTTTTCTCTTTTAACAGTTGATACATTACAGTTAGGGTTGTTCATTATACTGTTCAGACTGTCAAACCGAACCGAATCAAATTGAAATTGGTGGTTTGGACTTAGAAACGGTAGGGTTCAGTTTGGGGTAATTTTAAATTCTAGATTTTTTTTCCAATTTTAGAAACTAAACCAAACCGTAAATCAAAATATATTTCAATATATATAAAACCGAACCAGACTGAACACCCCTAATTACAATAGGGTACAATAAACCCAACGCGGATACCGTGCAATGTAAACATGGTCTGCCTGCTGTTTGGATGTTGTGGGCCTAAGGAATTTGAATTTTCCATCTAGAATTAAATCATTCAATGTCAAGAAAAATGATTTTCTAAAGTTACCCCCTTCCTACAATCAAAAAAGGGGTGAAGGGGTACATATATACTAACCCTTCCCCATCTGACTTTGCCACAGAATCAGGACAGCTCTAGGGTTTTCTGGTACAGAATCTAAAAATTATTAGAGGACCCACAATAACTCAAGTTGTTGTACTATGTGTTTGTTGAGGGCCAGTCTAGTGAATTTGGGATGTAAAGCTTGGCACAGAGTGGGCATCAGTCAATTGATCATTGGTCCCATGATTCCCCTCTATAGTTTGCCTGGTCGGGCAACATTATCCATCTGACCTATTGTTTTCTTTTGGATGGCCAAGATTAATTTGGACAAGAATTTAATGCAGTTTACTTCCTACTGGTTCTTTGAGACCATCTAACTAAAACCAAGTTTTAGTGTAGATGATTTTCTATATTGAATTTGTCTTTTAGGCTCCGTCCTATTTTCGATAAATTATTTATATAGGTAAATACATTTACCTATGTTCTTTTATTTCTCATGTAAATAAGGCAATGATCATTTTAGTCATAAAAATCCATTATTAAAATGGGCATTTTTGTCTCATTGAAGTGTTGACAAATTTACTTCTAGGTGGGAAAGTAATTTACCTATTAGGAGATGGGTATCACTATACCCAGGAAAATATACTTTCCCTGGTCCTCACATAAATCTGAAAAAAAAAACAGGGGATTCTTTGTCAATGAGAACCAAAATCCCATCGACCAACTTTTCCCCTCTCAAATCCAAAAAAAGATCGCCCCCTTAGAGTTCTTTAGTTCATTATGTGGACTATCTGTGCAAAAGTTTGGGCTACAAATTATCAAAATTTAAGGGTGTTTGGTTGGAGAAATTGATTTATCAAAAATCATTTCCTCGACAATTAGTGATTTTAAGGGTGTTTGGCAGCTTCTCCAAAAGCAAAACATGTAACCGTTTGCCAAATTCACAAACTTATCTCCTAGAACTTCAGGCATCACCCAAATCATGAAAATCGGGATTCGGAACTAACTGCTTGTTAGTCTACTGATTTTTTGAGGTATCAGACTTAACAAATGAGGGTTCTTTTTATTGAGGAATGTTCAATCTGTTGGGTCTCTTCTGTTCAAAAACATGCACTTTGTCCCTATTATCATCTAGGGGATTTTGTCTTTGCTCCTAAGATTGATCAAATATTCCCAAATTTACCTAGATACCAATCGAGTCAATTTAGGTGGTCCTATATATGGGCCCTACTGAGTCACATGATTGAATCTGCATACCTTGAATTGAAGTTATCTACCACCTTACCAGATATAAAATCCTGCCTTTTGACTGTTTTTCAGCTCCACTTAGTTAATTATGCTTAAGTTTAATTAGCCACATCATCCAAATGATCTTAGTTCAAGTATTAGTGATTAGTTCATTGGTTGTGTAATTAAACAGACTAACAAACCTAAGCCTCATTGTAGTGATAATCTCTCCAGATAAATCTGCAAGGTTAAATCACCTTGGTCCACGTAATTCAACA